CAAACGGTCCTAGCTTCCTTAATGGACTACGCTCTCACCGTAAGTATTTTCTGTTGAAATTTGTTATATATACACTAAAGCTGCTTGCACTAGAGATTATTTATTTTATTTTATTTCGTCGCTTGTGCGTTCAACTTTTTCTTTTCCTCCCATGCTATATGTTCTTTTAGTTCTACCGGTTTTGTAATGTGTTGTTTTCATCATGTTTCTGTTGAACCATGTTTTTATTGTTGTTATAATCTTACTTCTAATGATCGTCCAGCGAGTTGTTAACTACATTGTTTCACTCCATGATGAAAACTATATTTAATTTGTCGACGCTTGAATATAAAACAACTTTACTGCTTACTATTTGACGACAACAATGTTATGCTGTACGTTTGTTTACTATTACTATTCCCGATTTTAATGTGTTGTTTCATCATGTTTTTGCCAAAAAAATTTGATTGCGTACGTGCAGGTTTGTCGAAACACTTATCTGATGTATCTCTCAGCCTAGAGGGCATAAACGACTTTGAGAACTGCAAAAAATCTTCTCCACGTTTGACGTTCACGTCTCTTCACATGTTTATAAGTAACATCCTCTTCAAATTTATTATCTGTTCTTACACTCAAATTTTCTATCTCGATGGAGTTGGAAACGTTAACAGTATCTTTTTCCGTTCCCTTAATTTTTTTAATAATATTACTTATGTTAATAATTTTTTAATAATTTTTTTAATGGTTTTGAAATTTTAGAAATTTTACAATACTTTAGTTTTTTTTTTTCATCACAGTCGTTCTAATTCCTGTATTTTTTATTTAATTTAGGTTTCCTATCTGATTTGCTTTGGCTTATAATTTGCTTATCCTTATGATCATGTGTGCATGACATACTTGAATGTTTGTGTCAAACTGCAATTCCATATTTGGGACATTATGTGTGCGTATGTACATGTGTTTGTGATTTGAATGTAGTGTTTCTTTATGCTACAAAATTTCTATGTATATATGTATTTGTTTTATGTGGATTTGTCTTTTATAAACTTAACATTATTTTTATTAATTCTGTAGGATTTCTTTGTCATCTGTGATGATGAATGATGTCACGATTTCTTTACAAAAGTCATTGAAGAAACGAGTTGGACATTAATGAATGAATGGTAATTTTTAAACCTTCTATTTTGTTTATTTGTTTTCATTTTTCTGATACTGTTGAAGATAACTAGCTTTCTTTTCGACCATTTAGATTTTTCATTTATCTTTATATATAAATGAAAAGTTTACTCCAAAACTTAGATTCATTTTTGTGAAATATTTGTAACCCTAGGGCTATTTTCGATATTTACTGTTTATGGAAGGTTTAATTAATTTTTTTAATTTTTAATTCGGCTAATTTAATAGCAAATAAGACCTAACCGTCCACTACTTTCTGTTTAACATACACGTCCCAATTTTGTGTTCCAGGTCTTTTTTTATTACTTTTTTTTCCTTTTTCTCTCCTTTTAAAATGTTTTTCCTTTAAAATCGGCTAATTGCATACTGAATAAAACAAAATTTAACCGTCTACTACTTCGGTTTTAATATATACACGATCAGATTTTTTTTTTAATTTTTTTTCATTTATTTTTACATCTTGCTGTTGTTTTTTCTCTAAAAATTAGATAAACAAACTAAACATAATAAAAACCGAACACGGATATTTACCCATGACGGCCACAACCCGTCTCTATGACTCAACTCTTCTTAAACTTAATGGGGGAATTGGACAAAGTGTAATAGTCGTCGTTCTTGGGAATCACGTGAAGAAACGGAGCCGGCCGAGGAGATTGGCATCTCTAATATGAAATTCCATCCGCGCTTCTATCAAATTCCCATTTTACAAAGAATTTATCATCAATCAAATTCCCATTTTACAAAGAATTTATCATCAATACGGGTTTTGTTTTCGGTTGGAATATTGTTTCATGTTGTCTCTCCATTCCCTTCGAAATTATTCCTACAAGTAGGTGCAACAAGTAAATATGAACTATTTGAGATTAAGATTAAAAGATTGAACTCTTATATACTTATTGCAGGATCAATTAAAGATGGCAATTAACCTGAAATAGGAGTTGGGTTCTCCTTTTCCATTTGCCAAGTTTTTCTTTCATCTTTATTCAGTTATTCTGTCATCTATTGTTTATGCAATGTTACTACTTATTGCAGGCTTTCTGCGTCTTCCCTCGCAACGGTATATCATTTTATTGGAGTTTCACTATGTTTCTTTCTAGGAAATTCCTTTACACATTCAATCTTTTTTCCTGCAAATTCGACGGCCTATTTTAATTTTGAGTACTCTTTACCTTTTTTTGTAAACATAATCTATTTATTCAGTACAAATTTTTGTAAACATTTATTAAGTTTGTTATAATATATTTTGTACTATCATTTATTATTACCTGTAATTATTTTGCTTTTTTTTTCAACATTCGGCCGTGCAACGCACGGGGCAGAATACTAGTGATTAATAACAAGGGTTTATTGGGATAACCCCATTGTTCATATTTTCTAATGAGGTAGATCCAATTATTTTTTCCCTTTTTGAGATACACCCAATTTTGCCAACTTGGCAAAATATATTATATAATTTCCCTTTAATACCCCTGTTTTATTTTTAAACGACATTTATTTCCTTTACTACGTGATTTGAGATTTGCATACGTTGCCTAAAATCACGGAATAAATTTAACGTGAGATCATTGGCCATTATATCAAATCGTGTACAATATTTTTTGAAGATTCTCTTCAGCGTTCCAGCGGTTTTTATCGTCTTTGAAGATTTCTGCACCGTCGTGGAAATAGAATCGGTTTTGAGCGTTCATTGTTGGACGTTGTTAAGCGGGTATGAATGCGTTTTTTTCGTTTTTATTTTTCGTTCAATGTCCAGGATTGTCGTGTACGGTGGTTAGACATTTTTAAGAGTTGTGTTGATACTTGATTCTATTAAGTAGAACGTTTTTTAACAAAATTATTCCATCATATATACATCGTTATTTTTGGCGGATGATGTTTGTTTGGAAGAGGATTGACAGAGTTAGAAGAGGATGGTTCACACATATCGAACCAGAGTTGTTTTATATGAGCTTCGTAGTTGGTTTATGCAATAATTGAAATAACTGTCCGCTGTGGTCGAGTTCATGAGTTTGATCCCGTTCGATAGTTGGTTTATTTGTTTATAACAGCAGATTTTAGGGTGCTGGGTAGTACATTAAAATATATTTCGTAGTCTTTTTTAATTTAGCGTATGGATTTTGCATTTTAAGTTTATTTTTGATCATATTAATATATTTTTTAGTATTCTGCATTTTTAATGTCGTATCATGATTCAAGGTTTTTTCGATGGCGAATTTTGTACGGATTTTGTTGAGATTTGGTGGGTTGGTTGCTATAAAGAGGTGTTCGAATGGGTTTACTCGCGGTTCATTGGTTGCATTTGTTATTTCAAAGTGGCCACAACTCGATGGGTGGGATATAAGCATGACATATAGGCTGGAAGGCATTGGTGAATGTATCTTGGCTGACGATGAGGACATGATGCCGATGTTTGAAATGTTTGAAATGTCGGATCAGAGTTGTTTTATATGAGCGTCGTAGTTGGTTTATGCAATAATCGAAATAAATGTCTGCTGTGGTCGAGTTCATGATATTGATCCATATTGATAGTTGGTTTATTTGTTTACAATAGTCGATTTTAGTGTGCTCGGTAGTACATTAAAATATATTTCGTAGTCTTTTTAATTTAGTGTATGGATTTTGCATTTTAAGTTTATTTTTGATGATATTAATATATTGTCATTCAAATGTTTTTGCAGTCTATTTAATCATTTTTTAGTATTTTGCATTTTTAATTTTGTTTCGTGATTTTAGGTTTTTTCGATGGCGAATTTCGTACGGATTTTGTTGAGGTTTGGTGGGTTGGTTGCTATAAAGAGGTGTTTACGATATAATGGCTCGGTAACGTCGGTTAAGTTCTAAACCGTTGTAATACAGTAGTATACTATTATGAATACCGTATGATACTACCATTATCATTTTATTATACTGTTATGAGATTATTAATGTACTAGAGTTTTTTAACTCGACATATTGGTTTGATTGTGTTATGGTGTGTTTTAAGTGTTTTATCAAAACCCTAGATTGAAATTATGAGATTATTAATGTCCTATTTTATTGGTTATGTTGGAATACTTTACGTTGGTTTTGTTCTCAATGTTCTTGTCATTTCAGTGGTATATTGTTTGTAACACAATTTCATATCACTACTATAACTGTAATATACTATCATAGCAGATTAATGTACTATATTGAAATTATTGATATACTATGTGGTTGAATAATACGGGATCCATAGTCGATTAACGAGATCCATAGTCGAATTAGATCAATGAGATAGTCTATTACATGCTATGGGATAGTCTAACAATATTAAAACACAAATCCGCCGCCATCACTTATCAGATCTAGGATTTTGTTGATTCTTCGGCCCAATAGTCAAATAACTAAACCCATAGTCGAATTAGATACATGGGATAGTCTATTAAAAGATATGAGATAGTCTATTAAATTTAAAACACAAATCCGCCGCCGTCACTTCTCAAATCTAGGGTTTTGATGATTCTTCGGCCCATAGTCGATTAACGAGATCCATAGTAAAATTATACCAACGGGATAGTTTATTCAATGATATGGGATAGTATATTAATACAGATGTAATTCGACTATGCATCTCGTTAATCAACTATGGGCCGAAGAATTATCAAAACCCTAGATTTGAGTAATCCTAGATTTGAGTAACCCTAGATTGGAGCAGTGACGGCGGCGGCGACGGCGGCCAACGACGATATCACTTCTGGTGGATGTCCTGCCCATCAATTATTGCAATATCACTGATTTAGTGCTCGAATTCGGTATGCGATTATAACAGATCTGCAATTATACAAACGTGATAGTCGATTTAGCCAAAACATATCAACAAATCGATGGACGATAGCGATGCAGCGAGCGGCGAAGACGTGCCTACGGCGGCTTGCTCGGAGTGCACGAAAATTGTCGTTTCACAGCAGTGCAGATTTCTTCCCCTTTCAATCGGCCGTACCGTGAAGTGGTTCTGGGAGGTTTTGCAGTTTATTTGATAGTGGTTTTGGGGTGATAGTGTTTTAACGGGAAAATAGGAAAGGATTTGATATTATTTCAAAAGGTAAAGTAACGGGATTTGTGGGATTTGATTGAGGGTAATTATGTAATTAAGAAAAGTTTGGGCTTTTATCAAAATGGCAAATTTAAGTTTGGGTCTACCCTTATTATTTGAATGTTTAAGGGGGTTATATCTAATAGACCCTAATAACAATTATATTGCAACCTTAAAGAAATTATTAAAAAAATATTAGATTAAAATAATAAATGATTCCTTAATTTAGCTTATTTTAGTGGTATACTAAAAAAAATATAATTGGTAAGCGGTTAAGACAACATATTCCTTTCCTTATTAAAATAGTGGTTAAGAATCCGAGCAATAGTTATGCAATTTTGCACTAAATTAAAAATTAATTTTGGATCATTAATGGAGTGATTAAAAAAATAAATAAATTATTACATATGTGAAATGAGTAGGATGCCATAAATAACGAATTCTTGCCTATCAAATTTGATTATATATGTAATAGGGGCTCTTTGAGAAAACCCCCTCATTACTTTTTTTAATTGAGGGAGGCCCAAAATATTTTAGTCCATTTGAGAAAAGTCCACACCCATTTTTAGCCATTATGTTTTCCAGCTTTACCCCCGCTCACCACCTCATCACTGGGCCAGCGCTGATTTTTTTTTTTTTTTTTTCCGTTTTTTTAATCGACTATGAAGCATAGTCGATTAGTCTTAAATCGACTATGCTTCATAGTCGATTAAGGAAAATCTTTAATTTTTTAATTTTTTTTGTTTCTAATATTGTTTTTAAATGTTTTTTGATTTTTTTAATTTTTTTCTCTATCAGGTTTATTAATGCATAGTCGATTAAAATTTTAGCTATTAAAAGTAACAAATCACAATTACAAAAAAAATGCAAAATCAACTATATTTAAAAAAAAATATATATATACAAACATTGTAATTGGTTTATACATTGGAATCAATAAACAAAAAAAATCAAAAAAAAAAAAAAAATTAACAACTGGAGTTGGTTAACCTTAATCGACTACTGAACATAGTCGATTAAGCCTTAATCGACTATTGAACATAGTCGATTAAACCACGTAGTCGATTAAGGCCCTACCTACGCGAATTTTTTTTTCTGCACCGTCTTCCGCCAACCAAACGACTCTTCAAAACGGCACCGATCGATTTCAGTGAAAACTGCCGCCGGTTGATTACACCGGATTCACAAATCCAAAACGGAGAGTAGAAAACCTAAACGATGCGTGATCGCCGTAGAAGTTGCATCGGAATAATGAATTTCACACACACACACACACAAATCGAAACCCGAATCAAAAAAAGTGCATGTAAATGTGGGTGTTTTGAGTGGGTTGATGCAGTAGTTGATGCAGTAGTTGATGGGTGTCTTGACACAATCAAGACGTATGATTACGAAGATCATATTCATCGGAGAATCATCGTGGTGCTGTACTGCTTCCATATCTACTTGTGCTTGGAGATTATGTTGGTCGTGGCAGCAGCCACGGCGCGGTGGCTTCTGTCGGCTGAGCTCGAGCCGCAGTTCAACGAGCCGTACCTCTCGACCTCTCTCCAGGATTTCTGGGGTCGCCGGTGGAACCTCATGGTAATGCGTATGCCGCGGCCCACCGTATACCCGTGCTTGACTGGTCAACGGCGGTGGGCGGCAGGTGGCGGTGGACGGCGGGGGAGAGATAGTGGTGGTGGTGATGGGCAGAGATGGTGGACGTCGGGGAGAGGTGTGAGGGGCTGAGATGCTGAAAAAATAAGAGAGAAATTAGGGTTTCAAAATAATACATTGACAAATAAGGGTAGATTTGGAATTAAAAAAAATAACATTTAGTGAAATGCTAACTAAGGGGGTTTTCTCTAATTATTTTTGGGAGGAAGGTTTCCTTTACTACATTTCCTAGATGAGGGGTTCTTGCTAATAATCTCATATGTAATATGTAGTGACACATTGTTGATGATTAGGATGCCTACATGGATGACACATGTCGTAATTCTAAACTATGAGGGTTTCAATTTATATATTATATAGATAAATGTTTTCTTCAAATTCAAGGTTGAACCGCACCTAGAACCACCAATTACACGACCCGTCGAGTTCGGACCGGCTCGTAACCACGACGTACAAAACAAAAATGATTAGTTTCGATCCGTGGAAATGTCTAACTGAGATCGCCTGAAGATTATGAACTATAAAATTAAAGTAAAGAAAAATATACGGTTGCAAAATTTCCACGAAATTGGCATCAAATCGTGGTGAAGTAAAGCTTTATCTTTCGCTTTCCCCTTTTGTTTTGTAGGAGATGTCTCTATCTATTTGCAGATTGCTTTTGTCAAGAGCGTGTCACGTTTCGAGCATAGTCATACTAGTCGAATTCATGCCCAAACCACACCATCTTCGTTTTAATTCGTTCCAGGTTTATATCAATCATCGATGGACGATGACATTAATTTGGAGATAGTAGTGTAGCATCTATAGTTAAAAAAAAAAATATATATAATAAATAAATTGTGTAGCATCTAAGTGCAACATTCTATTAATTATTCTCACTTATAGAAGCTTTCTTTTAGATGTTGATCATTTATAGATCTGAATTTCATCTCCAAGGAAAAATTATATTTTAGCCCACGAGTTGAATAAAATATGAAAATGCTACACTAGACTAACCATGTGTGATAAGCTCCATCTAGCGACCGTTGTCAAGGAGATTTGAACCTGGGCCAATTGACAAAGGCTCACTTACTGCAATCGCTAGGTCATCTCTTGCGGGACGGAAAGACGCAAATCTTAGCCTTATAGTACGTGCATTCAATACATACAAGCTCCGGCGACATTAAATTATGGGCCCGTCCATAACTGGGCCTCCCCACGTGGGCAATTGTTGTCAAATTCAAGCTAACAAATTGTACATTTATAAACTCTATCAAATATATAAACTAGGGCTGGGACTGGGTTGGTTTTTATCCACCAACCGATCCATTACCGACCATATTTTTAAACGGATAATCAATTTTTAACCAACCCATTGGATGGGGTTGAAAATTTCACCCAAACCATCTATAATAGGTCGGTTGGTGGTTTCTAATATTATCAAAAGTTGGTTGACCGATAATTATCGGTCATCCAACTATATTATTAGTATTTTACTAAAAATATAAATAAAGACCGTGTTTTCTTAAGTGGTTATTGAAATCATCAAAATAATTAGTATTTTAAATTTTAAAAACAATCAACAAAGGAAAAAAAATTGACCTAAATCTTCCACCAGTTTCTTTATGCCCAAGTTTAAACAAAAAGCTCACAAAACTCTACTAAATCTCTTGTGCATGTTCGAAATTACTTTGAATTTTCTAATTATCTTTTTTCGTTAAATTATTATTTAATTATTTTGAACTGATAAATGATGATCGCACTGTTGCATTATGTAGTATGTGAATATTTTACTCCAATTTTTGATTTTTTTTTAAGTGAACTAAGTTGCGGGTATAAACCATCAACCGACCCATTTCAGAACCAAATATTCGGTTGCCAACCATCAACCGACCCACAAATATTCACAAATGTAATTCGGGGTTAATTTTGAGTTTTTTTAAGTGAACTAAGTTGCGGGTATAAAAAAAGACTGGTATATAGTTTGATATAACGAAACAAATCTTCAATAAAAAAAAATGTAAAATCTCATCATTCAATCATATTTGATTAAAACGTGGAGGGCCTTTATTAAAGTAAGTGGTGATGGAAACTCAGTTCATGAAAACTTTGAATCCTCTTTTGTAGCCACACATGTGTTCACAATGCTCTAACTTTCTTAATATTACACATTGACCCCAGATTTAAACAAATATATCACATTAACCCCCCCAATTTTTTTTTTTCAGAAATTTTTTTTTTTTCTGAAATATTTTTTTTTCGGCCAGATTCCGGCGTTGAATTTTTTTTTTTTTTTTATAATTTTGTTTTTTTTTTTAATTAATATTACTGTCTTGGCTGCTAAATTATTGTCTCCGGCAGTTATTTAACTGCTGGAGACAGTAATTTAGCTGTTAATTGACTTTTTTTTTCTTCAAAAATATTTTAATTAATATTACTGTATCTTGCTAAATTACTGTCTCCAGCAGTTATTTAACTGTTGGAGACAGTGATTTAACTGTTAATTGACTTTTTTATTCTTAAAAAAAATATTTTTAATTAATATTACTGTACTCGTTTGCTAATTTACTGTCTCCAGCAGTTATTTAACTGTCGGAGACAGTAATTTAACTGTTAATTGACTTTTTTTCATTTTTTTTCTTAAAAAAATATTTTAATTAATTGTACTGCATTAGTTGCTAAATTACTGTCTTCAACAGTAAATTAACTGTCTTAGACAATAATATTAATAATATTACTGTTCGGAAAAATAATATTCATAATATTACTGTTCGGAAAAATAATATTCATAATATTACTGTCCCAAACAGTAATATTACTGTCTGAGACAGTAATTTAGTAGCTAAAACAGTAATATTAATTAAAATATTTTTTTTCTTCCAAGAAAAAAAAATTCAAAAAAAAAAAAAAAAAAAAAAGTCAACACCGGAGACCGGCGGTCAACGGTGGTTGACCTGCCGGAAAAAATTTCAGGAAAAAAATAGTTTTCAAAAAAAAAAAAAAAAAATTAATGCCGGAGACCGGCGGTCTCCGGCGGTCAACGCCGGAAATCTGGCCGGAATCTGAATATTTCAGAAAAAAAATATTTTCTGAAAAAAAAAAGTTCTGGGGGTTAATGTGATATATTTGTTTAAATATGGGGTCAATGTGTAATTTTAAGGAAGTTAGAGCATAATGGGTGGAATTGATAAGAATTATATTGTTGAGGGTATTTTAGACTAAGGACATGGGGATGGGCTTAATTGACAGACTGTTTTTTTTGTGGACCAAAATGCATTTAAGTCCCATGTGATGGGCCTTTTTGCTATTCGCCCTTTAATTAAAATTCAACCGTGTTTGATTCGGTTTAAGTCTAAACCAAAAATTTCTATTTTTTTTAAGGGTAAATAAATCACGGCCACCCCTGAGGTAATGTTAAATTACGATAAAACCCCTCATGTTGGGGTAGTACAACCATCCTCATCAATTATGAATTTTTTATATGTCCAACCTTGTGTTGTCAAATTTAGTGAAATCTGCTAGATTATGTGGAATATTCTCCAGTTTGTACCCGTTTTACCCCATTCGAGCTCCACATTTTGAAACAAAATGATCATATGGTGTGTCTCTTAACTTGGAAATATCAGATTGTGGTGCATTAGAAACAATATTTTTGCTCAAACTGTGTACAAACTAGAGAACATTCAACGGAATCTAGAAGACTTTTGTTGAATTTGACGCAATAAGGATGGTCATGTAAGAAATTCGTAGTTCAAGGTTGTTGTAATTTCCCAGATATATGAATGGTTTATTCGTAATTTGACCTTCCCTCAAGAGGGTTACCATAATTTACCCTTTTTAAAATGGATTTAACTCATATTTAGCGAAAAAATGAATCTATTATGCAGTAACACTATTACTGAGTACATCGACTCTTTCTAAATTCACAAGGAACCAACCTTGCTTTAATTACGAGTTAAAAGGTTGCTGAAAAGTTAATCAATGATGGATTGTAGGTTTTAGTACGCTACTATGAAATTTCTAATAATTTAAATTTGAGACGGAACTGGTATAAATTGCACTGTACAACCATGTTCGACGAGCTCGACCTATAATTATATTTGCAATAAATGTTATCATGTGAAATTTTGTATATTAATGACAATGACTTGTATACATCAAATTGCACTTCTCAATTGTATAGTCAATTGATCAAGACATGGCAACTTCTTATTTCCCATACTTTCTTTTATCACAATAGCTATCACCCCCCTGAGGTATGGTCAAATTACAAAAAAACCCCTCTTGTTTGGATAATTACATCTATCCCCCTCAACTATGATTTTTTCTTACTTTTATGGTGCCAAATTCAACATAGTCATCTAGATTCCGTAAAATGTGCTCTAGTTTGTACTATTTGTGTAAAAAATACAGTTTCCGATGCAGCACAAACTGATATATACAAGCTAAAAGTCAGATATTATGGTCATCTTGCTTCATAATGTAGAGATTGAATGGGATAAAGCGGGTACAAAAGTGATAATATTCCATATAATCTCGAAGATTCCACTAAATTTGATGATTTGAGGGGGGTGGTTGTAATTATCCAAACAAGAGGGGTGTTTTTGTAATTTGGTCATACCTCAGGGGGTGTTTGTAATTTACCCTATATTATATTATATTACACACCGAAAATGACAACACCGAAAAGGTAAGAACAAAAGAAAAACATGAGGTCACTTCTTTTTCCATGTCAAATGACTCTTTCTCCACATTTAATTTTTATACATGAAATAACTTATATATATATAATTAAAACCTATAATTATTGATTATGAAAATCAATTTATGATAAATAATTAGAAGTACTAATGGCAAGCAAGTTCTTCTTCTTCCAGATCAATCCCCTCCTCGGCAAGCCTTTTCTCCTTGTACACATACCCTCTGGCAATAGCCAAAAACACCACCAAATTCAAAGTGCTCAAGATTGCCAATAGCCAATAGAAATTGTAAAGCTTCCCTTGATTAAGATTATCCGCCAACCATGACTTCTTTTGTCCGGTCACCTTGTGCACTATACTCACCAAAATCGAGCTCACGAAAAACCCTAACGA